AACCACACACACAACCAGGTCGCAACATGAATCAAAAAGAGACGAGTGAAATTTTGTAAGACTTGAAGCAAAACGACGACGAATTAGGGTGAATCACGCAACGAGAAAGAAGAGTATCCACACATCAATCGAAGCCGGAACGAGACGAAGGAGAGAGTTTGAGCAGAGGAGAAATGCGCGATGTTGGTATCTCTTTCTTCCTTATTCTCTTGCGCCATAGATTCTTTTTCTCGTTTTCTTGATTTCGTTGGTTAAGAAACAAGTATAGGGTTCCTTTTTACAGAATGCGACAATCATCGTGACCCAGTCATTTCCCCTTCTGTTTTATTTTTTTTATGTTTATTTTATTATTTTGATCATTTTTTTAATAATAATAAAATTTAATAATATGTGTGAAGGCTGATGGATCCTTGGGCTTTGGAAGCCCGTTTGATCTTTTGTTCACCCCCACCTGTTCTCTCAGCACCCAGCTTGATTCTTTGGTTAATTGGGCTTTGAGGCCCCAAACAGTAGTTACTCGTAACATACCCTAGATACCATGCGCACCCCACATTTGCTTTATGTTTTTTTTTTATGGTTAATTCAATTATATTGTTTTACTTATCTTAATAATTGATTATTTTGGATAGTTAAGTTGTTAGTTGGTCTAATTAGCTTCTTAATTGTTTAGTTAAGTGAAATCATTTGCATTATAATAATTTTTTTCTTCCTTTTAAAATTTCAAAAAAATGTTTTCTTTTGGGTGTAGAAATTATTTGATATCTTGTGGGTTCAACTAATTTAATTGATGTGTTTCATCCCCATTTAACAAAATGTATCGCACTCTCTCCAAATGTAATAGTTATTTTCTTACTTATGCTTTAATGCTTCAAAAATCATTTTTTAAAATTAAATTCTCGATTTATCGAGCCCATTTTCTATCCTTGTAAGTCGAGTGCTTTCAAAGCCTCGCCATCAACCTTTGATCACCATACACAACATTTTAGAGCTTACTCCTGGGCTTCCTTACAGTGAGACCTATTTGATCAATTACTTCTAGTTGGTCATTTAGAAGACTAGCCCACCTTGCTAGTGCACACGTTAAAACACAAATTTAAATCTCGATTCATATCGAGCATTTTCTCAAATCAAATTGAAAACACTTAATAACACAATTTCAATAAAAGATGAAAAAAGAGAGTTCCAAGTCTTTGGTTCTCTCTCCCAATTGTTTGGGTTCGGGAAGTCTTTCTTGAGCTCGAACAATTGTCTTCTAAAAATGATAAACAAATTCAAATTTATTTTCCTAAACACTTAGGATGAAAAAGAGAGAGCTCCAAGTCTTTGGTTCACTCTCCCGATTACTTAAGGTCCAAGAAGTCTTTCTTGAGCTTCGAGTAATCGTCATCCGGTTAATACACTCTAATCATACTAAACATCTTTCATAATATTAGATGAGAAAAGGAGAGAGCTCCAAGTCTTTGGTTCACTCTTCCGGTTATTTGAGGTCCGAGAAGTCTTTCTTAAGCTTTGAGTAATCCTCATCTGTTAAAATACTTTAATCAAATCCTATCTTTTAAACGCCATTCAAACAACTCCTTTTGCGATGAAAAAGAGAGTGTTCCAAGTCTTTGGTTCGCTCTCCCGATTACTTGGGTCTGAGAAGTCTTTCTTAAGCTTCAAGTAATCGTCATTCGTTCAACTTATTCAAACTATACTTAATTCTATCCTTTCGCATTTGAGGTTGAAAAAGAGAGAGCTCCAAGTCTTTGGTTCACTCTCCCGATTACTTGGGTCCGAGAAGTCTTTCTTAAGCTTCAGGTAATCGTCACCTCTAGCTAAGCATCTGATACTTCTAACCAATCTAATTCCTCGCCCCCGTGCGACCAAAACCCTAAAACCTATTCAAACTTATCCTCTTTTTTTAAACCAAAATACTTAACCAATCAAACTCTACTCGCCCTCGTGCGATCCACAACTCATACACCTTTTTCAAAGAACATTGTTTAGTCCATTCTTTCGCGCATAACAAACTCGTGCTTCAGCCTCCCCTAGTGAGCAGACAAGCCAATGTTTAGCAGTTAGAATGCGACCTAAACTCTCGTTCAACTCATACCCACCTTTTACCAAGAACATTGTTTAAACCCTTCTTCCGCGCATATGAACTAGTGCTTCAGCCTCCCCTAACAAGCAGACAAGCCAACGTTTAGCAGTTAGAATGTGACCTAAACTCTCGTTCATTCCAAGCACAAACCTTTTAGCAAACCGTAGGCCGAACTACGGCTGCTCTGATTCTTCATTCACTTTTGAATGTAAGATACGTAGGCACAAGATTGCGATGATCTTGGCGAGCACAATCCCCTCTTTTTCCCGTAGTCCCATGAACTACGAACGCTCTGATTTTCCACTTCTTACAAGTGAAGATACGTAGGCACAAGGGCCCCAATCCTTGGCGAGCACCCTATCTTAATAATCACCCCCTTTTCCTATTAGCAAGCAAATCCCTTTAGAAGATACACAGACATAGTTAACTTTCTCTCGTGAATCGAATCAAGAGGTTCCCGTTGAGTACAACGGACGTAGAGGGTGCTAATACCTTCCCTCTATGTAATCGACTCCCGAACCTAGAATATTGGTTGCGATGACCATGTTCTTATCCCCTTGAAGGTTTTATCGATATTTTCCTATTTCATCCTTGGAATGAATAAAGTTCGGTGGCGACTCTGTTTCGAACAGTATTTTCCGCGTCCATCGCGAGGATCGTATTTTTCGAGGTACGACACATACATCTTGATGAAAGTTGTGCAGGTCGAAGAGTTCAATAAATCAAGATATATGATGAATGTAGATAGTTTAGACACAATAAATTATGTGGTGTGTTGAGAATGTAATTCCTTGTGTCGAAGCATGTTGCTCGATAGAAGCAAAGAGATGTCGAAACACTTAGATGTCGAAATGTCGAACAAGTTTGTCTTCGACAGAATTTAAAACATAACTTTATTTATTTGTTTTAACTTAGTTAATTGGGTTAGTTAGAGATTGTTTGGTGCTCAAGCAATCTCAGTCTAAGAGTAGGGGGATACATTATCATTGTTGTAATGCAGCTGCATAGGAAAAAAAAGGTTGAATAAACTTCAGTTTTAAGGCAGAGAGAAACTCTGCAAAAATATTCTTCTTCTTCCTCTTTTTTCCAAAATCCTAATTCCTTTTCTTTCCCAATGTATTTATTCTTCTTCTTCGATATTCATTATGCAGCAGAATCATCTTGTAATCAAGATTTTATTTCATTAGAGTAAAGAGTGAAAAACAAGAGGAATAATCAATTAAAAATAATAATTTTTATTAACTCGGGATTTTTCATATGTTGGATGAAATTCCAACATTTATTTCCCTAATATTTTTATTGAATTTAAACAATCCGATCTCATTAACCGTGGAAATCATTTAAAACATTTTGTTATTACGTAGTCAAAGTTTTGATATCAAATTGATGCATGAGATCTAGACCCATTGTTATTACATATGTCATACATACGTGCATTATTCTCAACCATATGTTTACTATCTAAATGTCTAACGTGTGACTCATGTGTCCCTCCTAAACTCACATCCCTTACATTCTTATCTTCAAAACCATCATGATATGATCAAACAACTTTCTCCTCTAACATGGCCACCATAGCTCAGGCAGTAGAACAAGACCATGCTCCTCCTCACCATGCCATGTTTCTGGTCATACCTTACCTTCGAGTGTACGAGGTTTTAACCATGTCTCTTGTTTGCACATCACTAAGGGATGCAGTCAACAATGATGTATTGCCATGGCTTTGTATTATCATCGAAACCCCTCTCAATTATAGACTCACCAACGAGACTCTGTTGAAAATCACATCCAAAGCCAATGGTAGGCTTCAAAAACTTGCTCTCATGAACTGTATCCACATCACTAATCAAGGACTACAAAGGGTCATAGAACAAAACCCTTTCATTAAAGAGGTAACAATATCCAAAACTAAAACCCATGTTTTATTATTATATAGGATTTTAGAATACAAAGTGTTGTCTCATTTGTGGTTTAATTTTATGTGTAGCTTCATATACCAGCATGCACTAGCATAACCCCTGAAGGAGTTCTAAAAGCTGTAGAAACATTGTGCCAAAGAAACAATTGTTTAACCACCTTGAGTATAAACGGAATCTACAATCTACAGAAGGAGCATCTTGACATTCTTACTTCAAACCTTAGAAAAAATCTTTTAAAAGAAAACATGCAAATGCAGCAACCTGTCTACTATCATAAACGCGGCAGCATTTCAGCGTACGAGTGTCGAGAAAATCATCGGATTATTGATTTGGAGATATGTCCTAAGTGCTCTGAAGTGATTATGGTATATGACTGCCCAAAAGTGGACTGCAAGATGAAGGAATGTAGAGGGTGCATATTTTGTATTCCTAGGTGTGAAAACTGTGGTGGATGTGTTGGATCAGAAGAACCTGAAGAGTGTGCTTGTGGAGATATCATGTGCCTTGAATGTTGGTTAAAGGTTCCTAAATGCAGTTGCTGTAACAAACCATATTGCAAGCAGCACACTAATTGGTGGTGTATTTCTTCAGACTCTTCATTGATGTGTAGAGTTTGTGATGAAAATTCTCATGGATATACATACACTAATGAGCTATAATGAAAAACTTACTCATGATGATAAACCTTACAATATCATCATGCCAAGTTATTTTCAGTTACTCTAATTTGTTTCATGTTGATGGCTAAAGAAAATTATTGTTGATCATTATGTTTGCGTTCGTGAATTTACTTATTGACTGAGGTATTATATATAAAAGCTTTCATGTAAATTTTTAATGGCTAAAGATGTCTCTGATTATAATATTGTTTTTCACAAAATTATGAATGAAAGTGGGTACAACAAAATTGTACCTATATCTCCACCATTAAAGGAGAAAAAAGATGATAATGAAAAGTAAGGAAAGAAATCAATATTGTTTATACAGAAGAGAAATGCTTAACCATTTACAAGTGGTTCACTAATTTCAAGCAATTCATTTCTGAGACTAGTGAAAACAACAGAATCTGTTTCTAGGGGCTTGAACTTGATTAGAGCAGAAGGTACCAAGTCTTCTTCCTCTATTGTTTTGGCTTTTTGCCCTGCTTTTGGAAAACATGGGATAACTCGCCGTTGGACAACTACAGGATGCATTAGCTCAAATTCCAAACCTTGTTCTTTTAATGCAGAGCTGACAAACTGCATTATCAACATGGAAAACAAGAACTTTTATCAAAGATCTATTACATGATTTGAATAACTCATCTCAACTATTTTTTGAAAAGCTCCTTGCAACCAAATAGCAAAGGACAAACCTCATATAAAGCAGTAGTCGGTTCCCATGGAGCAAATAAACCTTGAAGTACAATTCCATCTGGAAACTGAATCCTAATGATAGTTCTTGTGTATCGCCTCTTTGCAGCTTTAGCTTGTTTTTCTTTAAGGGACTTAGGGATTAAAAGCTGAGACTCTTCAAACTTTTTTCTCCTTAATTCAGCATCTCTTCTCACCTCATCAACTGATCGTTTGTAGAAGGAATCTGGTAGCTCAATTTTAGCTGCAACGCTTTCAGAGACAGCAAAGAAGACCTTCACCTGTAAGTGGTATTTTTAAATCAGAAGATATGCATATTCAATCTAAAGAATGAGTTAATTTCTTATTTGAAATGTAAGTTTTGTCAATCGCAGATAGTAGAAAATAGCAGTTGGATCAAATAGCACTTCTCAATAGTGTTATAGCGCCACTATTTGACAACATTTTGTCCTAAATAGCGCATCACATATAGTAACAATTTGTTCATATACTGCTATGATACAGCATCTATTAACAACACTGCAAAAAGTACTAAAGTGTCAAACTAATGAGAAACCCAATGACATGCATAATTAATTGCTGGTCACAGCAGTAACACCCCATAACTAGCAGTCACTATCCCATAAAGTAATTGTCTCATAACATAACTAGCAGTAATTTTACTATAGCTGATATAATCAGTTTTGCACTTTCATCTTATACACATTTAAATAAGAGATCTGACAGTTTGTCAACTGTGTGTGTTGTTAGTAAGGGTAAATAGGCAAAGAGCAGAGCATATTAGGTTATAAAGAAGTTAGTGAATGGTTATTTGGGTAGGAGAGAACCATGCTCTCGAGGCTTTGTAGGAAGTGACCTATGCAACTTTCCTGTGTAACATTTCAATTCTGTCCCGGTGAATAATTGTATGATTGAGAACCTTTCTTCTGAGATTATTCAGCAATTTATTTTATAGATACCAGTTTCTAATACTGGTATCAAAGCACTAGGATCCCAAGAAGTTGATGGTTTTAACAAGGAGAGTGCAATCATGCATTGAGGTTTTAGAGTGCAGTTCTGAAGGGTTGCTTTCTATGCAGCAAATTCTGTATAAGAATATTGAATAAGAGTGAAGGGAGCACTTCTAAATGCAAATACAGTTACAAGTCATTGTTGAAACGGTGCGTGAAATTTGTGTGCGCACAAATCAAAACAACATAAAGCAAGTGTATCACAAAGGGCATGCAGCAGCTATTATGGTATTAGGAAGCAGCCAGCAACTATCATGTTCAAGGTAGTCAAGCACGGGATCTTAAGTAGGATCGGACGACCTACAAAAAAGATCGTAAAACTAGGATTGTAGTACGACACTTAAGAACTTACCAAAGGGTAAAATGGTAATTTCACATGGACATAAACCTATACTAAATGAACAAAATAACCTATAAATCCCTCAACCAATTTAATTAATAGGAAAAGAATGGTAGTAGGAAGAAGGTGGACACAGAGGGAGAAGAATGGTTATGATGATGGTGGAAAGTTGCAGAGAGAAGAATCGTTAAAGGAGAAGGAATAATATCGAGTAAGGAGTAAAGATGCAGCCGTTTTGTCTTAAAAAAACCGACCTGGTAAAAAAGCCCAACAAAACAGGCCCAGGCGCCCAGCACTATATTTTTGACGATCTTACTATGGAAAACTCAATCTTGACTACAAAGATACACAAAAAAGTTTTTTTCAAGATCGTAGCACTAAAAGGTAAATTTGGCACGTAAGATCTTACGATCTTACGATCCAGCACTCGATCTTGACTACCTTGATCATGTTACTAGGCAACAGCCAGCAGCTATTATGTTTCAAGCAGCAGCTACTTTATTAGCATAGCATTGATTGGGAGAGATCAAACTCTCGGGTACTTCCAAGGGAGAGACTCAAGGTTTTCGAATTTCTAGACAACAATTCTAATATTATTATTAATTTGTAATTTGATACCAGTTTCTATCACAGATTTATATGTCATCTATTAACACAGTATATCCTTGTTTGAATGAAGGTTTCATTATATTCCTTTTCTACTTTTATGCGATAATTACTACCCGAAACAACCCACCGCAAACTGTTCCCCTTTGCTAATACACCCAAATTAAAGCCAAATATTCTAGCCCTATTCTCAAACTGTAGAAAAGTAGTGACCAAGTCCATCACAAATTTTCAGTATGTATATGCAAAAGAACTTGGACTTCATTTTTCTTTTTTAATTTCGCATCCAAAAGAAAAAAAATCAAGGATAGAAGTTAGTCTAAACCAGATTTTCTAAGGCCTCACTTAAAATAATGACAAAACTACAGTGATACGCAAAACCAAATACGATAGATTAGCTATTAATGTTGCATCCTCTCAGTCATTTTCATAGCTCAATTGTTCAGATAGTACACATAGTGCATTATTTTGTTAATCCTTGCATTCTGCTGAAATTAAAACTAGACAGTGTCATTCTAGGTATTCAACAATTTAGTTACATCTTTACAAGTACTAGTGTTTTTCTAGCTAGAATATCAATTCCAAAACCACACAAGGTCCCTACAAGAGCAAACAAAACACATGTAGAATACTCTAATGCATACAAAACACACACATTGTTAAAAGTAAATACCAGAAGTATTATGAATATGAATTTTACCTGTCTGTCGATTTTTTTCGGTTCAACATCGGCTACTTTCTCAACAGAAGCTGTCGACACTAAACTCTCTTTCTTAGGAGGATCCTTTACCAATTGTGGTTCCAACAACACAATCGCTTTCTTAATCAAACCTATCTTCTCCTCTGCAGGAACCTCCATCAACGCCCATGTCTCTCCATTCTCCTCCTTAAGTACAAAACCCAAAAAGCTCAACAACTCAACCCCGCCACTAACCTCAGCAACAGCTTCCTTAATCTTTGGATTACTCAACCTAATCTTCCTAAACTTAACATTCTCCGGCTCCTTAACAATATTCCTCAACAACTTCAAAACAATATCAACCGATCCTTCCGAAGGACTCCCCGAAACATAACTCCCAACACAAATCTCCAATTCAGTATTACTCTCATCAACAACTTCACTCTCTACCAATTTTTCACCATCATCATTTCTAACTGGATTACTCAAACAACTTTCAACATGTTCAGAAACCTCATCTTCAGATCTAAACGGTGTTTTACAAATGGGACATTCATATACATTGACTGAATACCCATTTCGAGATCTCTGAGATGAAGTGACCAAAGAATCAAACGGATCAAATCCATCTCCAGGTTTACGAGCTTTTTCAGTTCTGCTATTATCAGAAGCTGAAGCAATCGGTAGAGTAGGTTCGGGTTCGGGATTAGGTTTAGGTTTAGGTTTTGAAATAGGATTGGAATTCTGAGAAGGAGAGGGGCGAGGGGTAGAAATGGAATTAACTGGTGCAGATGATGATGAAGAAGATGAAGAAGAGCCTAGAACTCTACCTTGGCCTTTGAATTTTCCAGAGGATGAAGATGAGAAAGGGTTATTGACTTTCTTGATGAAACCTTTCATCTTGTCTTTTACATCGTCCATTTTGTTCTATGATGTAAAAACCCTAATTCTGTGGAGAAACAGAATTGGATCTGAAATGGGTAATAGGTGAATCGAATTTGGGGTTGTAGTGATTGGTGTAAGGAACTTAGGGTGTAAGGAACATGAAAGAGAGGAAAATGGAGAATGTTCAGAAGCTGAGAAAAGATGAGATTGACTTCATGAAATTTATCATTTTGTAAGGAAAATGTTTGTCCAATAAGGTTATGACACGTTGTAGAATACTGGAAATTGGGATCTGGATTTCGTACTAAGTCTTTCGGACTGTTTAATTAAAATCAATTTTGATTTAATTATATGTTTAAAATTTTAGACTGTTAAACCTTAATCGCACGGCTAGGAATTTCTTGACCACAACAAAGTATGCAATTATGTTGGTATCAACGGGTTTGCCCGTGAGATTCTTCTCACACATAGTGAATTCAATTCTTTTATTGAAATCAATAGAATTTAAATGAACCTATTACATAATGAATAGCTTTACAACTATATGAAATTGTTAATCAACTATTAACAAATTAAACTTTTACTTAAAATGTTAAAAGAGAGAAGCTACCTCCTATCTCTATCCCACCCACTCTAATTTGTTTAAATCTAGACATTTATAAGATTTTTCGTCAAAAATTTGTTGCATGAATGAACAAACCAAAGAAGGGGAATGAAAACAGGTCAAGAGATCAAAATCAACAGGTTCTTCAAATCACACAAGGTGGGAGAACAAGAAGAATCATATGGAAGGTAAAAGTAATTGTATTCGAACTTCTTTCTTCTTTACCTCTTTTTTAAATGAATTAGCTGCTAAGAAAATGTTCAATAAATTCAAACGGTTCGTGATATTGATGAAGTTGTGATCCCATCTAAACGTGATAACAAAGGTCATCAATGTGGATTCGTAAGATTCTTTGATGTTAGAGATAAAGGTTTGTTGGCCATAAAACTCAATAACATTTTTATTGGAAAGAAGAAAGTCTTTGTTAATCTTCATAGATTTCAAAGAAATCAAGTTTCAAATTATTAGAGCAAACATTTTTTCAAACACATTCATAACAAGAAAAATAGTTTTCTAAACAAGAACAAGGAAGTTGACACTGAATTTCAAAAAAAGAGAAAAACTCAAGGTATGTCTCACCCTAGGGTAAGGCAACCGAGGCCTATGCCTAGAGCCTATAATTCCCCATTTGTTTTATATTAGTAGGTCTTAAGTATATGATGATAACGTTAGCTATTGGTGTTTGATAATATTGTTTGTATTTTTTTTACTGTTTGTATTACTATTAGTATAACTTAATGTGGCTACAAAGTTGAATATTACAAATGATTTAATTTGTAATTTTATTCTTATCTTAAATTGAAAAACAACAAATAAATACACTTATTAATTTATTGATTTAATTGAAATGCATTGATTGTCAATTAATTATAATCGTTGGATGTTAGATCATAAGTTTGACTATTATTTTAATCATTAATAAAGTAATATCAATGGATGATGGTGATGAACTGACAGTGTAAAAAATTTTACAACAGTGTAAAACATTTTACACTAACAGTGTATCATAATTATCTCTTAATTTATTCTATTTATTTAATGACTATCTGAGTTTTAATATTATTCTTATCTTAAAGTTGAAAACATAATAAATGCATCAGTCAATTTATTTAATTTGCTTTAATGATAATGTAAATTTTAATGTTTTATATCATATAGTGTCTCATTTTGTGTTTAACTATTGTCGCTACTACGAAAAAAGAGAGGCCGACAATGACTAACAGAGTCGCCACCTATCGTTATTTATCCCAAAGAGAGGGAAAGGAAACGATCGGAAAAAACCTGACGAAAACAGGAAAAAACGAGGTCATCACAACCAAGTCCTAGGTTCGGGAGTCGGTTACGCAAGGGGAAGGTATGAGCACCCCTCACGTCCGTCATACTCGACGGGATCCACGCATGTGTTGTCTAGCTAAAAAGGTGTGTGAACTATCTACGTTAAAGGCTTATGGACAAAAGAGAAAGAAAAAGAACTGACTCGGCAGAGCATCGCCGCTCTGTGCCTACGTACTCCCTCGTGCAATGGGAAAGTCAGAGTCAACGTAGTTCGCCTAACTACGACTAAAGAAGGGGGGAGGTTGCTCGCCAAGATATCGCGTCTTGTGCCTACGTACTTTCGTCTGGTATGAAAGATCAGAGTAAACGTAGTTCAGGCTTACGAGAACACAGGCTGTTCAAAAGTTTTACCGGAGTAGGGTTAACAGACAGTTCTAGCAGTTGGTGTATGCAGCTCGACCTTTGGAGACTTAGGCGTTACCGTTTGCAATAGGACTGAAAGTTAACAACACTCTTGCTTATGAAAAGAGTTTTCCTGATTAAGACCCCAAGGGGTGAAAAGAGTTTGAATTGTTTTTGTATTTTTTAAGGAAGAAGTGTTTTGATTTTGGTTTGCGACTCATGCTACAGTAGAGACTATGATCTAGGAGCGAATGCTTCGTATATCGTCCGAAGGACATACACTAACATTCTAGATAATTGAGAGGCAACCACCCAATCATCATTTCCCAAATGGCTTAAGGCTCGTAGCATGCAACAATTGTCAAGCTTTATTAAGTGGATTGAAGTTGTTTGAAGATGAAAAGAGAAAGAGGACGGACTAAGGGGGACTAGTCCAAACCCTAAAAGTTGTCATGCAATTTGCACCTAAAGTTGAGTTTGAAAGAGGACTACCTAATGTTATCATGCACGGTTAGAATCCTAATGTCTATCATAACCTCTCTTGAACAAGAGAGGTTATAAATCCTAAGGGAAGGAAGACAAAAGAAGAAGAAACAATAAGAAAAACAATACAAATGTAGAATGCAAGCACAAATGCAACAAGGAAGACAAAGATGCAATGCAAGTGAGGGAGGAAATATGTGTGGGGCTGGAACCTCCACAAGCTCATCTCAACCTCAAGCCATGGTATGAATAAACACAAGAGAAGAGGAGAAGAAGATGCATAGAAAACAAGTAACAAAAACAATGAGAAAAAGTCCTCATGGATTCATTACTTTAGGCAAGCTTCAGGTTCCTCCTCATGAGGAACCAAACAACCTTAAGTAGTATTCCAAGGTCATGGGACAGAATGGGGATGAGTAGAAGAGATTTCAAAAGCTAACACAAAACATCACAAGCAAATGCCAACAATAACATCAAAGAATGCAAGCAAACATCACTTATGGAAACACAATATGCAAACATGAAAGTATGAGATCAAATGAACAACTTATACACAAGGTAAAGACCTATGAATTAGCATACAAGACCTATAACAAGCCCCTAACATGAAACAATCAGAATTAGGTTCATCAATAATGCACAACCAAACTTTTGGAAGCAAAACAAAACAAGTGCACCAGCAAAGATGCATAAACATGAAGCAACTTGCAAAATACATGAAAAATAAGAAAATGCATCTAAAAATGCCAAATAAAATCTAAGAGGACCCCCAAGTTATTAGGAACTAGGGGTCAAAAGGGGATATTGAAAATCAAAAGGGAAGTGCCTCAACAGAAGGCAAACACCAAGAGTGTTCCAAAATAAGGAAGAAATGGAGAGGGAACAAAAAGCAATTCAAACCGCATGGAAACAGCACTTAAAAATCATGAAGAAAATATCCAAGGATCAATCAACATGTTAACACAATGCTCAAAAAAATTAGAAGTTAAATCCATACCATGAGCAAGAAATAAAATCAACAAGACAGCACATATTTTTCACATCATTAAATGACTATTTAAAAGGAAAATATGAAAATAAATGGAAAATGCATCAAAAAAGGAAATTAAAAATTCAAAAAATTAAAAGACATAGTAAAGTATGTTCATGATTTTTTTCAGAATTTTTAAACATTTTTTGATATTTTTCACGAATTTTTAAAGTACAAACAAATAAAAGAAATAAAAGAAAACAAATAGAGAAAATAAAAATGCAGAAAAAAACACAACCATCAGATCTGCATACTAGTCAAATGATCTAAGGCACCAGAATGTGCCACCTCAATTAATGAATTGTGGTATTAATTGTGTGTGGACAAGCAAAAGAAGGAACACATAGGTCTTGTTTTGGAACACATGATCAGAAAACAAACGAACGGACGAACCACAGCTTGACACGTCACCTTCGTCTTCAACCTTGGAGCTCCGGCCGGACCAGCTCGTCGGAATTCGCGCCAGTCATCCCTGTCCTAGCTCCGGCCTCCGCGAGCTCCACCCGCTCCCCCCCCCCCCCCCCCCCCCCGTGGCATCAAATCGCGACCGTTTTTCACAATCCTTAGATGAAAATTCATCCTCTCGCCGCGAGGATCATGAATCCAACCTTCATTTTCATTAATTCTCAACAACCAAACCATAAATCAAACAACAAGCAAAGTGTGCAAAAAATAAAGTTCATCAAAACTCAAATTAAAAGGTTCAAACATCATCTACATGTTGCAAGGGTAAGAATCCATGAAAGTTAAAGCAAAACACCATGAAAATCCATCAAAAAGAAACAACACAACTTTGAGCTCAAAAAATCAAATGTCATAAACACAAACAACAATGATCCAGAAATGATCTATGTAACTCAAAGGTTCAAATGCAACGAAAATGGTGAAAAATCATGGAATATTAAGAGTGTAAAGTTGAAATAAAGTTTACCTAGTGGAGAGCCTCCACTGGGCCTTGAAATGGTGATGAAGCTTAACGAAAAACGTCCAGAATCACTCCATGAACTTCAATTGAGGTGTTAGCAAGCTTGATTTGGTCTGAAAATGGTTGAATGTGAGAATTGGTTTTTGAGTTTTTCACCACTTTTTGAAAACGGGAAATGGTTGGTTATTCATGCAGCAAAATGACCTAGCTCTGCCTCAAATTTCATCTAGAATACTTATATGATGGGTTTGTGGTCAAATGGGGCTTTAATTCAAGCAAAACAGCCCACTTTGAAAATACACATTTCAACACTTTTT